CGGCTCGTCCAGCCGCCCCAGAGGAAAGGAAGGGTGGGGCTCTCAGGGAGGGTGGGTCCTTCCTGGCAGAGCCCCCCCGGGGGGGGGGGGGTAGCCTCCATTCCTTCCCACTTCAAGGAGTCTCCAAAACCCACACAATTCTAGGGACAGATTTGCACCAAAGGCCCAGCTCTTGCTCTAGTGTGATCATGGTTCTGAAACAAGGGTCCACACCCAGGGAGACTGGTCATTCAGTACAGTGACAGAAGGCTGGCTACCTCTATCTTCAAAACACATTGAGTCACCCATTTCCCCAAACAAAAACTCAGCTTCTATGGGGTCACTCTGGGCAACAAAGGTAGGGTCCAGATAGTGGTGCTTCTAAGGGAGAGGGAGGGAGGGGAGTACCAGCTGAGTTAGCAGGTGTGGTACCAGCAGGCTTGAGGGGCTCTCATAACAGTGACTGGGAGCTGAGCAAGCCATCAGCTTTTTAAAACCTGCGTGACCCCAGAGGGCCCCATTTCTCTCCTGTGACATAGGAAAGATAACCCCCAACCCCTATAGCTCTTAGACATGGGTCCATGAGAACGCTTGGGCTTCCAGAGACTTGTTTGGGTCGTGAAGGCCTGCCCCTGCTTGAGGCCTACAAATTAATTTACAAACGAAATCTGGCTCTAGACACTCACCTGAGTTTGCCCAGCAGAAAGGCCGAACTTGTGAAAGGACGATTATAAAGAATGGGGGAGGAGAATAAAAGCGACAAAGAAATTTTCTCTAAACGAACCCTTCTCCATTCCAGGGCTGAGCAGGCAATGACCCCAGGCCATGCGCAGGCTGAGAGACCCGCTGCTCAATCGCTGGTACCGGGCGAAGACTACGGGTCCTGGGCTGCAGCTCCCACGCCAGCCGCATCTGCACCGCGACCGGGAGCTCCCGCCCAAGGATGCGGGAGTCGGGAGAGGCTCCTTGACCGGCTACCTAGATGGGACCGCAGACCTGGCAGACAAGGAGCCCCCTCTCATAAGGCTTTTAAGGAGGGGCAGCGGTGAAAGCGCCTGGCGATCGCAGGGAGGCTTCTTTTAATTAGAAGCTTATCAGAACCCTGACTGATTAAGAGCCCGCTGTACCCAGGCCTGAGACAGCCTAGCGGGAAGAGGGTGGGGTGGGGACCGGGGGAGGAACTGCTGCCCCTCAAGAAGGAGCAGGTTCTTCAAAGGATCCTTGTATTGGCCTTAGAGGGAGAGGCTCTTGCAGCCAAGGTAGTGCCTTTCCCATGCTTGGGCCAGACCAAGGAGGGGAGCGCAACCTTGATGTAGTCCAGAGGAAAGTAATGCTCGGAACTCCCCTCCCTGCCTCTGCTGCCCAGTGGCCCAGAATAGTCTGGCCCAACCTGGCCCAGGGCGAGCTGAAGGTAGGGTAGGACCCACAGTAGGCTCAGCCTGGAAGATGTTCCAAAGACTGAAAACACAGCTGAGGAAGGTTGGGTGGAACCCTCTCTCCCGTTCAACCAAATACTCTCTACTATGCCTTGCACACATGTGCCCCACCCCACCTCAACCCCCAAGCAAAGTTGGTCTCCTCCTGTGACCAAGGATTACTTTGTGATCTCCAGGCATAGGCTCCAGCTAGTCTGAGCACTGGCAGGGCTGAGGAATCAGAAGCTGACTGGCAAGCAACACCTCCCATCACCACCCTAAGTCTTGCACTTAGGTCCAAGTTGTGAAAATCCTTCCCCCACTGCTGTGTCCTGACAAACCAAGCCCGCAGGCACCCGTTGTTCAGCGCCCATCAAGCGGACAGAGAAAATTCAAGGTGGAACTAGGCTTTCTGGGAAAGAAGAGGAGAATAATGTGTGTTCAAGTCTCTGATCTGCCACAACCCAAGAGGCCTCTTGAAGATCTAATGTCTTAGTGCCTGAATTTCCCCATCAAGTAATAAGAGGTGCTGTGAGATTCTGGCGAAGGTTCCTACAGCCATTAGCTGTCTTAATACCCAGTCTCTCCAGTTTGCCTGCACAAAGCAAGGGCTTAATGTTTTCTGAATTAATGTTTAGAATGAAATGCCAATTATATTTAAGAAATAGAAAAAAAAAAAACCTGAACATCTTTAATAAGAAACTGAAGAGGTGAGTGAGCACCATATTTAAGCCACCAAGCTTCCTTGCATACCTCAATTCCTCTCCCTCCTGGGGCCAGCATGCTGATAGCCATTCTTGCACTTTCCAAGGACAGCTGACACCTCCTAGTTAAAGCCTCAAGCCAAATCCCCCATTCCATAAGGATCCACAGGAACCCGCCAAATCAAAGGAATAAAAATCAAAGGTTCTCAGATCTCAAGGACTGCCCTTGTCTCTTATCTGGGGTAGTGGGAAGAGCTGGGATGGGCAGCTTCTCTTCTCACCGTAGCTCCCAGCAGTCAAGTGAGCCCCAGTCCACAGGCTGTACCTGTGCAGCCCTCTTAATTAGGAGAAAAGAAAAAGTTTCAAGACAGGAACCAGCTTCCAGAGTTAAGTATAACCCCAGTCTGAAGACGTCTCCCTCCCCTTGGGGCTTTTCCTGGGGAGTGGTATTAGGGTACAGGCAGTGGTAGGAAGCATTCACCTGCTTGTCCTGGTTCTTGGCTCCCAAACCCTTTATCTCTGTAGCAGGGGAACCTGTCTACCTTAGAGGAATCTGGAGTTTCTTTTGAGACATACACAGTTCCATCAACCCTCCAGACAGGCTTATGGTATCAACCCTCCAGACAGGCTTATGGGATCAGGAAACTAGACCTGAGGTCCAAAAGGATAGACATCCAGTCCCCAAACAAAGCAACTAGAATCCAGGTTGCAAAAGTCCCCACAAACCTAAATGGATGAAAATCAAAGCAAGGGCTTAGTAGTATTTGGTTCCCCAGAAGGTTGAGTCAGTTAGCTTCTCAGGCCTCTACAAATAACACACTGGCTCACTCAGGCCACACACCTGACCATCAATGCTGTTTAAGGTGGGCTGCTGCCCGTTGTGTATTTAGAGGCCTCAAGTCATGGGATTGTTGAGCTTTCTAGCCTTTGACTTGTAACTTTTGGCCTGACCCAAGTTCCGGGTTGAGCCTGCCCATCCTCAAGTCTCCTCTTAGAATTGAACGAACTGAGAACTGGAGGTTTGCAAAGGTTTAACACCTACCTACCTCAAAAGTCTGAGGGCTGGCATGCTAGGAGAACTCAAGCCTCTGCCATGGGACTAAGCTCTCCTAACATCCCTTGGGTACAAAACACTAATTTCACTTATGAAAGATCTAGACTAAAGGGAGCTCCTGAGTCTACTCCAGGTTGCTCCTCAGGGTCCAGAGCCTAGATCTGAGGTAAAAGGTAAAAGTTTCAGGTTTCACTTTCTTTAGGGCTTGGGGTCAGCGAGGTGTCTCTGCTGGTCTAAGGTAGGAACCTCCTTAAGGACCCCCAGCTCAGAAGACGGAGAAGTCTTTCCTTCCCGTGTGAGTTCTGGCACCTCCCGCAAACAGAACACCCTGTTCTTTCCATCCCACGCATTTCGGAAACACCCAAGACCTAGGACCGCACAAATTTTCGCTGCAAAGAAAGCATCCGCCTTTGTGTTAGCGAAGTATTTCCTAAAATAGCGAATTGACCTAAACTGGATTCTCAGCTTCAAAGAAATCAAATGAGAATAAACGAAGAAGCAAAACAAGAGGCTCAGCATCATAACCCCCAACGAACGAGAGGTGTGGGGGAGTTTTGCGCGAGATAAAAATATCCCTTCTGCACTGACTTAAGACGGCGAATAATCCCGTCCTTGTTCTAACCTCCGGAGTCTTAAGAGTCTTTCCCCAGCCTAACCTGGAGTTTACAGGACAAGGAAGCATTCGAGGAGCGCTAAAAGAAAAAGGCCAACATTTACGGCCTCACTGCACGGACTTGGGCCCACGTAGGTTGGACAAGTAGGACTCTCTTCCATCCCCGCGTCTTGCGTGGCCTCCGACTTTGCAAAGTCGGAAGAGATTCCACTGTGCTACCCTACCCACAAGTCGTGCATGAACTCAGACAAGATTCCCCAAAATCATCTTTCTACCGGCGTGTTATCTCCTCTTTGTAGCTCTGTGGGTTCTTAATGTGGGCCTAAAGTGAGTCAGCACCACATGCTAGATTGGAGTTGCTAGGGGTTGTTTGAGGGCGTCGGATATAGCACAGGGGGGGTCCTTTCCACTATGGCCCCACTCGAAGTCCACAGTCTAGATGTCTAAAAGCCTGGTGACAATTTGGTGGTGTCTTTTCCCAAGATAGAGTCACACACTACACCAATCCCCTTTTCCTCTCAGTTCTGGAATTTCTCGGACACCCGGGGGGCTCACAGTGCCCTCCCGGCTCAAGCGAACTGTCCCAACTCTGGGATCTTGCTCCGCAGTGGAGGAAGGGCGAACTAGTCTCTGAGCCCACTCTCCCCTGCCCTGGTGCCCACTTCTTTCATGGTCCTTGGGAGAGAGCTGAATAAGCTCTAGAATAAGGATGGGACCCGGGCAAGGGAAAAGGCGCGTGGCGCCCAGAACCGCTGTCGCGGGTGTGGAGCGCACTGCACTGCCTCCTTACCTTGGTTGCGGATAGCGGGCTGGCTCTCCAGGCAGCTGGGCAGGTAGGGGGCATTGGGAAACATCCTGGCCTGGCCGGAGGACGCCTGGCTGGGAGGGGGAGGACCGAAAGGTCCGTAGCGACAGGCCCCAGCTGTCCCGGTGAACTGGCCGGAGAAATGGACGGTGAATGCGCTCAGGCACTGCTCTTCGTGCGGCTCCGCGCCGCCCCAGCTCGGCTCCTGTTTGATGAAAGAGTGGGGCGGCGGCGGAGGAGGCGGCGGCGGCGGCGGAGCGGGCGGAGGCGCGGGGGCGCCCAGCGAACCGTAAGCAGAAGCGCCCGGAGGCGCGAAGTCCAGCACCGGCGCCCACTGCGCGGCTCCGCTCACTGGGAGCGCACAGCCACCGCCGCCACCCAGCGAGGACACGGCGGGCAACAGCGCGTTCAGGTCCCGCACGTCGGAACCCATGAGCTGTTGTTCCAACCCGGACGCCCCTCCGCTCCTGCGACCCTGCGGATGCTGCGCGCTGAACTCGGCCGCCCCTAACTTGGCCCAGATGCTGCTGGGGCCTCGGTCCCGCGGCTGCGGAAGGCACTCGGGCTCCGGGCGGAGTGTGAGCTGAGACGCCGGCTCCCGGGCACACGTGGAAGCCGACTCCTGTGGCAGGAGGAAGTCCAGGATCGCGGCGAGCAGGCGGCGGGGCCCGTGTGCCTGGGCTGCGGTCCCGGCTTTGGGTGGGTGGGTGAATGAGTGGGTGGGAGGGGGGCGGGAAAGGAGGAGCAGACAGGCGGTCGGGTGGCGGAGAGCCCCCGGGCGTGGGCGCTGCCTTGAACTCCTTACCCCAGCTGCCCGGCTGCCCCCAGCTTCCCAAAGCTCAAATAAGAGGGGCCGGCGGTGGGGAAGGAGGAGGAGGAGCCAGGATGCTCGGCGACTCCATTCACACAACAGCCCCAGCCAAGCCTGGCAGTGCGCGCGGCTCCCCCGGGGCACTCACAGCGAGGGTGTGGGGCGGGCGGGAGGGAACGTCCCTCTCCGAGGCGCCCTCCTCTCTCCCGGCCACGTGCTCTCAGCTGAACTGTGTGGCCAGCCTCCCCCTGCCCCTGCCTCCCCAGCTGGCCTTCCCCGGTGTGGGCGCCTTGAGGCAGGTCCCTCTAGGTAAGCAGTGTGTTCCCTCCGAATCCAAGCGAGGTGGGAGTAGAGTTGGGGTTAAGCAAAAGAAGAGGGGTGGGGGAAGCAAGTGGACTCCAAGAGAGGCGGGAACCTAGGGAAAGCCCTGAGACCTCTTCTGGGTTCAGAGGTCGACACCCTAAATTTGAGCCTTACCCCTCCCACGTCCGGCTCTCTAGAGCCTAACAACCCGGACACTGGGGCGGGGGGAGGTCCCCGTGGGTTCCGGAGGTCGGGATTCAAGTCGAAAATCCCCCAGGTGGGTGATTGAGAAGGGTGACGTCAGTTATGACAAGCAGGGCGTTTTCAGTGGTCTGGTAGTTGGTTGTTTGGTGGTTTGAACCAGGAGGAGGACTATTGCTCTCTACCTAAAATCGATGTAGATCTCACTTACTGACCTTCTCTAGTGAGGAGATCGATATCGTCTACGGTTAAGCCGGGAAAACAGCAACCGTTTTGAAGGGTGGGCGAACCCTTGAGGGAACCGCCCAGAACCTGCGTTGAGTAGGGCTGGAGTGTTCTGGAGCCGGGTTGGAAAAGTATGGAAATTGGGGAGGACGAGGCGGTGGAAACAGCTGGGAGATTGTGGCTCCAGGAGCCGCTTCACCAGTACTGCTTCCTCTGGTGGTAGGGAGCGGATTGTGGAGGCGCAGTGATAGAGCTTGAGATGCAAACCAGTTAGGCTAAGGAGGACTGGACCCGGGAGAGTCTCCATTGAGGCGCGTTTGCACCGCTCCCAGAGCTCCCAAACCGTTCCTCCAGTCTACCTCGTAACTGTTCGGGACTCCCGGGACTTAGTGCAGGTGTTTGGGGGTTGGTTTCGTTTGGATTGGTTTGGATATTTCTGGAAACAGCCCCTAGGCAAGAAGCCCGCGGAACACTGAGTGCAAGTGCGTTTGAGGGAGCAGGCACGTACTCATGAGTGCCTGGAGGTCGCCGCGACGGCGCAGCCTGGAACTGCCAGGCGCGCTGGGCGAAGCTGCAGGTTGTAGTCCGCACCCTAAACGGCTGGCTGCGGTTGGGGCTCGCAGCTTTCCAGCCAAACCTATGCAAAGCTACAACCCACGCTTTGCATTTATTTTAAAGATACCTGGAGTTTCGATAGCCTAGATGGGTTCTCCACTTATTACACTTCGATTTTAACTTACACAGTGAATACACAATCGCTGTGAATTACGGTTTGAGACCCAAAGCGCCTGTGGGCTCAGAAGTATTTCTTCGAGCAATTACCCTCTTTTCTTGGGGTTGTACAACTTGTAGGTAAAGAAGATCGCCTTAAGGTGGAAGGCTGGGATGCTCAACTATCCTATCCGCCAGCTACCCTTTCGCCTTTGCTGTGCTGGACACCGCGCAGCTGCGCTTGGTATTTGTATTCCATCACAAGCTTTTTTTTTTTCGTTTTCTCCTCTTTCTTTCATTTCTTTTCCTTTTTTTTTTTAAAGAAATGCGAAGATCTCAAGATCAGTTTCTTCCCCTAACAACGTCCGCTCTTCTTTATGCTTAAAACTGTAGTTTTTAGAGCAGCGCTGCGCAGATGCTCCCTGGTTGTCTTTGGCGGACACGGGCCCTTTGGGACAAACCGCCTCAGGCCCAGCTGCCTTTGAAACACCCCAGGCCTCTGTCTCTTCTTCCCTCTTCTGGACCTTTTATTTCTACCTCAAAATCGTTTTCCTTAACTTGAGCTTCGGAACGGAGGGAAGAGGAGCCCTTTATAAAAACCCAGACTTCCTCTTCCGAAGGAAAAACGAGATTTTTATTTTATTTCATTTTTTTTGCGAGCTTTTTGGAGGATGGAGGTAATTTGTAGAGAGTACAGTTTGGAGACGAGCTCTCAGAGTTTTGAACCATAGGAAGGGCAAGAACAGATCTTTCCTCTATGGTTAAAAAAATACTTTTTTGCCTAGGGGTAGGTTGGTGAAGAAAGGGGTGGCTACAAAGGTGGGTGCAAGGAAAAGGGAGCCATGAAACTTTGGACTCTTCTGTCATTTGTCTCAATCTTGGAGAGGAAGCCCAGGAAATGTGATTCCTCATTTCAACCCCAGGGTGCCCCCTCACCCAGACTTCTCAGTTCGAATAGGTGGCAATAAGTTCCTGGGAAACCTCAAGACCAAGCAGGAATGGGAAGCTGTCAGCCTCTGGTCAGACAGGATGCTCCCTTGCCCATCCCGGTGCCCAGGTGCCCACACACCGCTAAGTCAGCGCTGTTGAACTTGTAAGCCTGGGGTTAGAGGATCAGAGGATGCCCTATTTCTCCCACTACAGTCTCCCCTGGAGTCCTGAGGTTAGCCCTGTAGAAGCTTGGTTATAGTGACTTAAGCCTCCTGAGTTGGCTGTGGAAGTTACAGAGTGTCCAGATGGTCGCACCTGCCACCCACCCTGGACCTCCCTGATCTTGTGAGGCCCTTGGTATCACAGAAAAGTGAAGGCCAGGAAGAACTAGGTGCCTTCAACTCTCTCCCATTTTCCCGCCCCTGTCACTGGGGAGACCCTGGGTAGATGTCTGATGTCTGAACTACCCAAGGGCAAAGCTGTCAATTAAACTCAAGTCAGAGAAGGAAACTGAGGCCTAATAGAGGTGGGGAAAGTAGTGGTTAAGAACAAAGGTTGGCAGCTGGGGGGGCAGGATCTCAGTTTCATCAGGTAACCAACAGCTGTAGCATTTTTTAACCTATTTCCTTATTGGTGGAGAAGACAAGATACAGAGCCCGGTACTGGTTGTGAATTAGATAAGAAGGGATAGTCTTGTTGGAGGGGTTTTGCTACGGTTACTATTCAACGACAGGTAGCAAGATTGTGGCTGGGCTTAACTGAAACCCCAAACTTTCAATGTACAGTTCGTTCACGGGTGGCTTTAACCACCGCCTCTGTCTCTCCAGCACTAATGGAATGTGGAAAAAAGAAGAGGTCTTTAAAGCCCACGTGGCTTTCATTCCTGGGCAAAGTGTATGCATCCGGGTATAGAAGATGCATAATTACTCCATGTTGAAAACATCACATGGCATCGCATCAAGGTGGGAGGCGGGAATGAAGATCTCAACCCCCACTTTCCAAAACCCGGGTGCTGTCAACTGCATCTGGCAGAGCTCCGAGCCAGGCGGCTAAAGCAGCGGCCCCAGGGACCGGCGCGCACGCCGGGGCCGCGCTCCCGCGGTCACCCCGCGGCTGCTGACAACTGAATAAACACGCGGAAGCGCTGGGATCTGTCAGGGCTAGGGCCGCCAGCCCGCGCCCAGGGCAGCGGAATGGGCGTGAAGAGTGGCGGGACCTCCCAGCTACCGGGTCCCTGCAGCCGGGCGTTCTGAACCCCAACCGCAGGACAAACCCCCTCAAGCCTGCTCCTCTCTCCCAGATTCAAAGTCAACAATCTGCCCTCCTCCCGCTGCCGGGAAGGCGCATAGATGCGCAGGGTAGGGTAATTCCCAGCCTGGCACAACTGGCAAAAACCACAGCTTTATTTTGCGAAATAAAGGAAAAATTATTTAAACTCGTATAGACCACTCCTGGGTTTCTTCTTTTCTATTGAAAATCATCTTGCTCTTTAAAAAAAACAAAACAAAACAAAACAAACCAGTCTTCCATCTAGGTAGGGTTCAAACTCTCCTCCCCAGGATGGTTTAGGGACCCAGAACCATCTACCGCTGCTCGGTGTGGTTGCAAAGATTTTTTTCCCTTTACCCTTGCTGGTGGTGCCTGGAGCCGTCAGTGTTTCCTGGCTAGCTGTTTACAGGCCACCACGCCAGGGCAGCCGAGATGGTCCCCCAGCTTCCCCAGAGTCCCCAATGAAAGGATTCAGCAGCGCTGCCTCTATTATTATCCCGTAAATCTTCTTAAATTCTGGAACTAATTATATAGAGGATATGTCTCAATTTGTTCTGCATTAATGCCACAGTGGGGATAGAGGCCAGGCCATGGCCAGAGCAGATATGGAGGCCCATGAAATTGATGAACTGAGAGTTGCTTCCAGTCCTGAGCGCACCATCTGGAATTCCAGTCTGAGGTTACAATTAGAACTCCTGACCCCAGATTCAACTTTGCAAACAAGGAAAAAAATGGGAAAGAGGGAGAAAAAAAGGAAATAAAAGAAAAGTACTTATTCTGCACCTGTTTAAAACAACAACCACAACAACAAACTTAAAATCGTCCCATCCTGGAAAATTCTTTTCAACTATTTGTTTTTGTGCTTTTAACCTATAAAAGACAATGGAATATGTTTTATAGGCAGGATTTTATTTCATTCCCTTCACTCTTCTGGCTACATCGCATTTAATAGTTGTCACTTTCCTAACAGCATTGAATTTAATTGTATGTGAACGAAATAGTCCTCAGGAAATTTCTAAATCTAAATATCACTTTGTAATTCCCCTTCATTAAATATCATAATTACAGAAATCTGT